GGTGGTCTATTCCCGTTTCTCTTCACACCCCTGTTCATTGACTCGACGGTCGGTCACAGAAGGCGGCGCCCACGAACCCCCGCCGCAGTCCACGAACCTAGCGGCCACCTTCACCAGTTGAGTTGTACTCCTTTGGCCTCGCAAGGGGCAAGATAAGTGTGAAAAAGAGAGTACGAGAAAACCTACACGGAGGCGCCGCATCAGGAGCCTTTTCCCCCGGGAACGAAAGGAGTGGCCCCAACGTTTGTCCCGGGGCGGGATGAGGCATTCTGTTGTTGTACAAGCCTTTGTCCTGTTAGTTGGAAAGCACCTGGGACCGAGGGGACCTGGTACGCCGTAGTTTGGTGCGGTACTGAAGCGAGCGGATGGGGCTGCGGATGCATCTGGTACACTTGATACGGCATACCGTACGGCTGTGGCATGGCCATTACTGTCGTCGAGGGAATAAAAGGTACGGACACACCAACAAACTGCAATGGATGCATGGCCATCCCATGGCCGGAAGGTGGAGCTGTCGTCCATCCAGGAGCGCTGAGGCCAACGCCCTGCGGATAAGCTGTCTGTGGTGGGGATGACGTCATGGCAGCAGGATGCGGAGGGGGTTGTTGATACATCATCTCACTCACCGGGATGGGGGCCGGAAACGGCGGTGGGGCCGCCGCAGTCGCTGGAGTTTGGGTCGTGACGGGCTCACTTTTCTTCACACTATCCGCAAAAGTTCCAAACTTCAGGCTAGCCAGGACGTCCTTTTTCCCCTCCTCCCTTGACACAAGGCATTCTACGTCGTAGGAAGACCCAACCTCTCCCCACACAGGATCGTGAAACAGCGCAACACTCTTTAAAACTTCCGACTGCGCCTGGAGAGAGACAGTCGTGGTTTTCTCACCTGGTAGATTGACACCCTGAACAAACTCAACGTTCATCGCCTTTGCAGGCTTTGGTTCGGGAAACGATGGAGCCTTGGGTTCAGGCTCCTTCGCTATGGTTGTTCCACTCACGAGAGGAGTATTAGTAGCTGCCGGACGCTGCAACAGTGGTGTACCTTGGTTCTCGGAGCAACGCTGCATAAGAGCAAGAATGGCATTAAGGGGATCTTGTTTCTTCGGCTCTGGCGGCTTTTCTTCGTTGCTGCTAGAGCTGTCGGCCTGAAACGTCTCTTCGTCAGAGGTTGCTGGCGCCTCGTCCGCACGAAGGGCAGAGCGGGGCAGACGCAACTTTTCAGAAACGTCGCGAAGGTTCACAACGGGAATATCATTTTTCGTGATCCAGACGTGCACAGCGGGGTTAAGCCACAACGGAGGCTCCTTTCGACGCGTATTTTCCATTTACTATCCCTCTTTTGCCCTCCGCAAACATAAAAAGGGAAAGAAAAAGGGGAAAAAAGGCGCAGAAATGATAAAGCAAAGGAAATTGGCACGTTTCGAAGTGAAGGCTCACGCGCCCTCGTCCAGGGACGAGGGCGCGGATGAATGTGGAACCGCATACCGTTTAGCTGTTCCGGCAACTCGCAGTGGCCGGCTTCGCGTAACTCCTGAGTCCCCGCCTTTTGTCCGGCCCCCGCCACGGGGGGGGCGCCTCGGAGCGGGAGGGCAGGCCGTACCTGTGCAGTTGCTGCATCCCTCTTTCCGCTCCCCGCGCCGCCCCTTCTTCTGCTTTCACCCCAAACCCCGCGAGCTAGAGGTACTTGTTGATGTCTCCAACAATAGCCACCGTACGCCCAGGGAACATCTTCATCAGCTCCGCGAGGCATTCGTCACGACACTTCCTGGCGTCACTGATCAATGCCTCCAGCTGCGGTCCCAGCCGCTCAAGCTCCTCCTCTAGCTGCTGCACCCTAGCTTGACTGTTGTGCTTTCGCAAATCTGCAGCCGCAAGCCCCCGTCGAAACCGCCGCAACTCCTCCATGAAGGAATGGCGCAGCGTAGGACTTGTCTTCAGACGCACAAAAGACGCCTCCGTCGAGGTTGTTAGTCGCTTAACAAGAGAGTCCACTGCCACACCATCGTCGACAAGCGAATCATCGTCCATAGAAGCTCGCTCCGAGGCAAAACAAAGTAGAGCCTGCAGCTCAGTCAATATGTTGTGTCGGTGGGTGGAGATGGAGACGTCGACGAAGGTCACGCCCTCCACGTTATCCGCCACGTTTTCCTCGCAGCCCTCCTCCGCCGCACCACCATCTCCACCACCGCTGTGGTCGGCACCCGTCGCACCCTCGGCAGCTATGGAAAGGGTCTCCCCATCCCACTTGATTTCTACCGCCGCGTCAACGTCGATCGGCTCGGCGGGGTCGAACTCGCCCCAATCAATGTTGTGGGGCCCTGCGGTTGCCTCGACTTCCTTCTCCACCTCCTGCTGCCGCCGTTGTTGCTCGCCACTCTGGGGCTCTGCCGGCGGCTTGCAGGATTTTTGCTGGTAAACCCTTTCCAACCAAGGGAAGTGCACCGCAAAGACGTCACTGCTGTGCATTCCCATGGAATGCATCTGCGCAACGCGAGCATAAGCCGCGCGAAACGCCTCGAGGTGGGCGCTCCTCCCAAATTCCCTAAGCGCCTCGTTGAGAAGAATTGTGCTGGCGGCCACCATGCCTTCAACCGCTGACTCCAGCTCCTCCTCCGCTGCGCCCCGTGCTTCCTCGAGACCGTACTCCTGAACAAACCGCTTCTCTCTCTCCTCAATATTTTGTCGCGCCTTAGCGGCGTCCTCGATGGCCCGATGGGCGTCATCGAGCGCAGCGGAAAGCCTCTTCTGCTGCTTGTGCTGCGCCGGGATGTCGTAGCGCACCCACTGCACCAGCCTCGGCGCCAGCTCCATGAGACGCGCGAACTCCTTCTTGTGCCGCTTCCCCAGCACCGCCTTGCGGTCCCCCAGCCACTCCTCCATCCGCTGGTAGTGCACCGCGACGACCTGCTGCTCCATCGCCGACCCCTCCCCTTCTAGAGACCCTGCAAGGAGCAACGCAGATGGGAGAAAGGAGAGAGGACAACTTCACACACTGGCAAGAGACAAAGCAAACACCAGGCATATATATATATATATACAACACGCGTGGCAATGCTTATTTGAAGCCCAGACCAGGCCACAACCAGCTCTGAGAAGAAAACATATATATATATGGCTATGGAATGACAGACGCCACCGCCACCGCCACCACCTCCTCTACTAACACGCTCCTACAAGAAGAATCAAAGTAGAACTAATTCTCGTTCAACGTTTATAGGTCTGCCGCACTTTTGATGCACGACTTAGTGATGCTTCAATGCGGCAATGATGCTCTCGAGCACAGAAGTACGAATCTCAATAACTGCCCGGGCCTTGTCGTCCTTTGCAGAGCCTAGCAAAGCCTGTTGCGCAGCAAGCGACTTCTCAGCAGCGGCAAGCTCAAGGTCCTCGAGAGGGACACACTCCACCGCATTGACGTCGCATGAACCCTCATTATTGATGTGCGCAAAGCCGCCACTCAGAAAATACTTTTGCGTTCGCCCGTCGGTAAACTCCACTGTCAGTGGCGCAGGCACGAGTTGAACAATTTTGTAGGCATGCCCAGGATAAATGCCATACTCGCCATTCACACCAGTCACCGTGACACACTTGACGGGTTTTTCCCGCATGAGAAACTCATCCTGGCGCGTGAGAGTAAATCTGAGGGTCTCCAGGTTTTCGTAGGAGGCATGGAGGTCCTTATCCACCACCTTGTGCTCGAAAAACTCAAAGCCCTCTGGCAGATCGTGGTGCGCATCCTGCAGCAGCGGCAGTGTGCGAGATATGAGGCGTCGGCCAAAAACACGGAACATACTTCACTACTAGTACCCACCCGTCAAGCACAGAAACACACAAGCAAGCAAACAAGAAGAAAAAAAAAAGGAATATAACAAAGCAGCATCCGACCAGAAAGGAAAGAGCAGAGGGCCAGTAAGATATGCTGCGGAGCACAGACAAAAAACAAACAAACCTCCACTGTAAATATTTAAAAGGTTCAAAAATCAGAGAAAAAAAAAGAGCAGGAGTTTCACAGGTTGTCTCTACAGACGACGACCACGGCGAGAACCCTTGCGGCGAGTCGAGTCGGTAGGAACCGGGGTCACGTCCTCGATGCGGCCAATCTTCATGCCAGCACGCGCCAAGGCACGAAGCGCGGCCTGAGCGCCGGGGCCAGGGCTCCGCGTGCCAACGCCGCCAGTGGCACGCATCTTGACGTGCAGCGCGTTGATGCCGCACTCCTTGCAGCGCGCCACGACGTCCTGCGCGGCCATCATGGCGGCGTAGGGGGAGCTTTCGTCGCGATCCGCCTTCACCTTCATACCGCCGGTGACCTTGCAGAAGGTTTCGCGACCCGACAAATCCGTCACATGGACAAACGTGTCGTTGAAGGAGGCGTAGACGTGCACAACGCCGTACACCAGCTCGTCCTTGGCGGCGCTGGAGCCGTAGAACTTCACTTCCTGCTTCTTCGACATACCTATAAAACGCTACGGCAAGAAACATGAAAACACAAAAAACAAGAGAAAGAAACGAAACCACAAAACAAAAACAAATGAAAATGCGCCGAAAGAAAAAAGCAACAACAACCGAGAACAGCAAGAGCAAACAAAAAAAACGCACGGAGGCAAACCTTTGCCACCAACGTCTGGTAAAATAACAAAAATCATAAAGAAAAGGAATCGCAGATCAGATTAGAAGGAGAAAAGCCAAAAACATATACATGTATATGTTTTTGTGTATATCTATAGAGATATTTGTGCCGGTGCTTCTCACCTCCTTTTATTAACCCAAAAGAAAAAAAACCCACCAAGAAACAGAAATTGGCACCAAAAGAGAAACAAGGAAAACAAGAACACCTTCATTTTGTTATTATTGCTTCTTCTTCTTTTTCCGCCTTGGTTTGGTTTGATTTTTTCCTCCTTCTTCCTTCTGATCCACTTCTACGTGGTTCCTCGTTCATAACTTCGTTCCATCTCTCTTCTTTTTTTTCTCTTTTTTTTTTTTGCTCTTTCCTTCCGCTCATTACTCCCCTCATTGCGTCCCAGTGACAACAGTGAGAGTGAAGCACGTGGCCACCGCCTCAATGGCTCCCCGCTTCACTGATGCTGCCCTTGAACTCCTCTGCGCAGGATGTTGTATCATCCTCGACGCCCTCCTGCCGCTCATCACCTCTATTCTTATTCGCCTCATCTGAAAGAAGGCGAATAACCTCGACCGCAGACTCGTGCAGTGCCGCATCCGCGAGCCTCTCCCCTGCAAGCACGGAATGGACGTCTAGCAATGTAAGTCCGCGCTTCTCCAAGAACTCCCTGGCAAGAAGTGGGCGCTCAGCCCAGAATCGGGCAAGGTCCGTGTCGCTGTTTCCACCTTCATGCTTCTCCTCCTCAAAGGAAGTGTCGTCATCCTCGTCATCCGCATCATTGAAGCCACCGGATGTTTCCGACTCTTCCTCGTCGCTTGAGCTTCCCTCATCAGGTTCACGCTCGGCGTCAGAAGGGACAAAACAAAACGGTGCATAGTCATCCTCCTTGATTTCAAAAAAGTGATCAAAGTTCGCGAGCATTTCCGTCGCAGTTGCTCGCTTCTGCGGATCAAACTCGAGCATTGGGAGGAGAAACTCCGCAATTTCCGCCGCCTTCTTTCGGGTAAACTTGTGCTTCTTGTAGAGGACGTCATCCAGGTACCAAAAGTTGAGGTCTTTAATATTGCGCAGTGCCCCACGCGAGTTGTAAAACTGAGACCGATACTTGCCCTCTCCTAGACGCATGCTCTCGGGCAGCTCACCCAGCAACTCCGTCATTAGGGCTAAATGATCCTCGTCCCGTGAATAATTTTCTCCCGTTCGTGGGTCAAAAAGAAACTCACCTGTGATCAGCTCAAAAATAAGGCAGGCAGCGGACCACAAATCTATTGGAGTTGAATACGGCTCCCCCAAAATCACCTCTGGACAACGGTACTGGCGAGTTTGCACCTCATCCGTGAACTGCCTGTATGTCCAACAGCTATTACCAAAGTCTGCCAGGACGACGTGGTGCAGGCGTTCAATCTCCCAGTCGGAGTCTGTATCACTCGCGGAGAGCACTTCTGCACGCCCCCCTTCTGGACTTTCCTCCTTGGAGCTCTCCGGCGTCTTTGAGACGGCACTGTGCTGGTCCTTCTCAGGGACGTTTTCCTTCGCGTCGCCATTTTGTTCAATCGCCTTCAGTTTTTTGTAGTATCGTCGACGTTGCGATTTCGTCATCGTCTTTGGATCACGCTCCACCAGGCGCAGACGCTGAGTTAACGGCGGTGGATGATAACGTTTCATGAACGATATTATTGCATGTTTTGGGGTGGAAAGCAGCACGTTTTCCGGCTTCAAGTCGGTGTGAATAATCTCCAAGGAGTGTAAGTGTTCCAGCCCCACGAGGAGCTGTCGAGAAATACACTTGACTATGGGCAACGGGACACCGCGGTATTCATACCTACCAATAAGAGAAAGCAGATCCTCCCCGTAAACGTCAAACACCATACACACATGAACGCCATTCGGGCCGGTGTGTTCAAAGTAGTCATTTAGCCGAGCACAACAACGGGTTTTATCCGGATCAGCAGACATAATTTCGCCCAACAGTTTAATCTCGTCGTATGCGGCTTCCGTGTAGTGTTTGGCGGATTTCTGCACCTTCAGAGCTTGATACCTCTTTGTGACGTAGTCCCAGGCAAGCCAAACCGTAGAAAAATATCCCCAACCAAGCTTTCTGACTACCCGATACTGATCATGATACACCTCACCGACCACGACGGGGTGGTAGCCCCCTTTACGGTAGTCTGTTGGACGTTCATTGGCGGTGTCACTGTAATCCTCAGCGCTGTCACCGTGGTTGTCCTCCTCCTCCCCGTCTCCCTCCTCTTCCTCCTCAAAGGAGCGGTCAGGTATATTCTTTAACGGCTGTTTCTGATGAACCTTTTTTGCCATCTTATGTGCCTGCGCCACTGTCATGCCAGGTTTGAGTTTAACTCCGCCAAGCTCCCGGAATTGGGACTTATTCGGTTTTTTCCCCTGCGTATTGAGGGAAGGCTGCCGCTCCTCGGACTCCTCCCGGGGCTCCGCCTCCTCTGCCACTGCACGCAGGGGCACCTCCAACTCATTGTTAGCACATGGATCTACGTGTTTCGCCCTGCGTTTGTGAGGGCCGAACTTGCCATGCTTCTTGGCATGCCCTCCCTTGTGGCTTTTGTGGAACTTCGGCATTCCCTTCACTTCCCCCCTCCCCACACACACACGCCCCCAAAAGTGCGTGGCAAGCCCCTTCACTTCACCTGCACACGCCAAAGTTTTACGAAGCGAACAAATAAAAATAGAAACAAAAACATGATCAGCGTCATCGCAATCGCCTTCGTCCTCGACCATACGTACACATACACACACACACACGAAAACAGACACCGACGCAGAATAATATGCGTAGCTAGTTACATAACCTTGCATAAGGGATCAGTTATGCGACGACAATCATGGTGTTTGTCATTTTCAGCTGCGAACGGAGACTTACGCTTCATGTATTGGTGTAAGAGATCGCCGTCAGCGGTTTAATCACTCCCTCGCTCAAGAAAGCGCGGTACCGGAAAGAGGCTGCAGTAGAAGAAAGCTGTAAAAAAAACGAAAAAAAAACTACAACAACCAATCTATTAGTATACCTAAACGCCGGGAAAGCGGAGGGCATTAATTCCCTAGGCGTCTACGGATTTCTGGCATTGCTGTAGTGCCCTAAGCAGTTCTTCTACTCTATTCTCCTCCCCCTCTTGCTTATCCCTGGCATCATCGCCCTCAGGAACAACAACTGCCAGCTTATCCAGTAGTACCGCAATCCGTCCACGCTGTTTTTCGTTAACTGTACAGGAGTCGAGAAAGAGGCTTAGTGCTTCGCTAGTTTGTAGTACCACTCGCGTAAGTTCATTCGCTTTTGCTCGCTCAGCCTCTAACTGTGCCCGCGTCTCCTCATGTAGCGCCTGCTCCTTCTTTAGCAGCGACTCAAGGGTACGATTGGCCTCCACATGTACCGTCACAAGATCTCGGTCACGGATCACCTCTGCGTACAGCATCTCCAACAATTGCTCAATCCGTGGTGAGGCGAGAGGCCCGGAGAGCGCCGAAGAATACTGCGGTGGTGTCTTGCCCTGTGTGGGGGCATGCGAATGCGGGTTGGGGCTTCCGTAGCGATCGACACGCATTGGGGCGCGCAGCTCCTCAACTCCGTGGGCGAACGTGCATCCCTTGAAGTTGCAGTTCCCTGCTTCCCAGTTCCTGCACATCGTGGTCTTGTACCGCGTCGGGTTGGTTCCCAGCTTCTTCGTCGAAAAGCTGAGGCTGCCGTTGTTCAGCGAGTCCTCAGTGGTGGGGAGGGAAAACGATGGCACATTCAGGCGCACGACGGCCTGCGGAAGCATTTTCGGCGACACGTACGCCTGAGAAGCCGAACTCCTCTGCGACGATGGGGAATTGCCAGCCCGAACAGAGAACGACATTCCTCGGCCAGCTAGCAAAGAGGAAAACGACAAGAGAAACTGTGACTGGGGGGGCACAGGCGCAGACACAAAGAAGCAAAAGAAGAAGACGGGGGGAAAAAAAGAGGAATAGAAAAGCACAAGCAACATTCACGCCCGGCTGCTCAGAGAATAAAGAGAAACGACAACAGGAAACGTACGAATACGGCGGAAGCTGAAAGTAAACGAAGAGGGGAGGAGGAGGAAGAAGAAGGAGTCAAGTGTGAGGGCGCGAGGCAATAACGAAGAAACAAAGAAAGAAAGAAAAACACCTACACACACGTATGAATACCGCAATTCCATCCTTCACCTCCGTCTCTCCTCAGTAAAACCGCGACTCCCGTTGTTTACGCAGCTGCGCACACAGCGTCACGAGCTAGCAGGCCTTTATCTTGAAATGGAGCGACACAAGGGCCAACACCAACGACTTGATGTCACGCACAAAGTAATAGAACGTCTCAAGCCCCTTAGGGTTGTCGGTTTTCTCCACCTCACTTATTGAAGTGATTTTGTTCGTCACCAAGGAGATGTGCGTGTCTCCCAGGTGAATCTCCAGCTCCTGTCGCCCGTTCCTGTCGGGCTGCGGCCAGCTCTCGTCGTCGCTCTCAAGAACCGCCGAGGTGATGATGATCCGCTTGATTTCCTCTAAAACCGCCGGAGACACCCGGGCCTGCTTCTTGATGATGTTCTCGTTCCGGTAGCGGCTGTTGTTGCCGTACTTCAGCGTGCCATCGTCGCGGATGTCAAACTCCAAAAACTCGTTACCATAGCGCCCCGTGTGTCCGGCAAAGTAGCGAATGTGGTGCAGGTGCGACTCCATGGTCTCCTCAGGCGCTAGCAGCACCGCCTCCCCAGCTGGCACCTCGGTCGTCATTGGCTTCTGGTGCACAGGAGCCCAACAGAGAGAGAGAAAAAAAAAACACGCACGCAGCAGAGCAAAGGCGACAAAATAATAGTAATAATAGAAGTGGAGATGAAAAAAAGAACGTATTCGAAATGAAGAAACCGCAACTCGAGAGAAAAACAAAAGCCAGCCCGCCAAGGTGTGTCTGCGTGCAGCACGCAAACAGAGGCGTGAATGGGCGTCCTGAAATCAAGATGACAAACATGGACTATGTTAAACAAAGACGTACACAATGAACCCTCCATCCCCTTCCTATTAATCATTTTCTCTCTCACACAAACAGTTCACCTTGGTTTTTCCCTTATTTTCTTCTTTCTTTCCTTTCCCGTTCTTCAGCCCGGCACGCATCCTCCATCTCCCTCCACCGGCCTTCGTTGTTCTTTTTTTTTTTTTGCGTTCCCCCGAGCTCCTCCAAACTCCCTCCCTCCTCCCCCCGCATACCGCGGGCAACGAATCAGACTATTCGCCCGGAGAAGAACTTGCCCCCTGTTTTAAAGAAGCGCAACGGCGCAACAGAGAGAGGCCACAGAGTGTGGTTTTATGATCCCAAGCCCCCCACAACTTTACTTGGGATCTACCGCCCACGACCCGATAAAACAAGCAAACTCAAAAAGGTGTTTGATTACAAAAGGGCCCTCGTTGCCAACGGACGAGGCAACGCTCCTTAAATGAGGCCCGCAACCGCCAAACACCCCCTGCAGGGAGCGAATCCGTGGTAGTTGGGGGGTTCAGGGGTGGGATGACTGAAAGCAGAAGCTTTGCGCGCTGCACTTCGGCGCGGCATCCTTAAAAACAAAACCAAAGGTAATCAAGCAAAAAAAA